AGACCACTTATTGTGATTCACTGTAAAATGTTAAAGGGCTATGATGCTCCAACCTTATCTGGCCCATTTTGCAAGAACTATGCACAGAACGGCTGAAAAACAGTCAGCATTACCTTTTCGATTACCGTAGCATTACAAGTTTTTCTATGAAGGCTACAAAAATAAATAAATAAATATTTATTTTTTACAAAGGCACACAGTAACAAATACGCTTTTTATTTCTTCATTCATTTTTGTTATTCAAAAATTACTTAATATGCTTGTTGTAACAGTAGCTATTACTACCTCATACACCTTAAACACATCCTCAGGTTTGATGTGTTTTTACAGGCTAGTAGTTCAGTGGATGGAGCGGTTTTTGAGCTGTGCATGTGCATGCTTTGTAATTGGCCATTTAGCTTAAGTTATTTGCCCCCCACATGGGACAGCAGTTCAATGCAAGTGCACAGAAGCACTCGTTAGGCTTCTAACAGTTTGTGCTGGCAATGTAATGATGTCTTTTTTGTGCTGTTTATATGAGCTCATCATCACAGCTCTTAACAATGTGTTTATCACGATAATGATAAAAATATGACTTACTGTGCAGCCCTAGTCATTATTAACCGAGTTGCTCACACAGTTTATTAGGATGATATGCAACATATAGAGGAAACTATTTGCTACGATGGAAATACCAGAGCAAAACTAACCAAAACAATGTGAAAATTTAAGGTTGTATGTACACTGAAAATAAAACGTTCATGATTTTCTTGTGTTGAGTAAGAAAATGTTACGTCAGTGTAACATCAACTGTTTTTCTATACTTGTTTTTGCAGTTGTTGTGTTCATGCTTTTTTCTGTATTTTATTTCTGTTCAGCCACTTGACACATTTTCATCATGTCAATTAAAAGCACAAATTTTTTAAAGTGTAAACAAGTAAATGAAAGTTTCTAACAAAAATGTGCCTTTTACTTCATTAGAATGACACAGGTGTTGATATGGCTAACACTAGAACACACCAAGCACAAACAAATATAAGACATACAATATATGTATGTATAAACAGCAATTAAATAATATAAATTATCATAAATTAATTGCTAAGAAAAAAGTAGACACGCACTGGCAAAGCAGTTTGATTTATTCACATTAAACACATTTCATATTTCTGGTGATTAGCCACTCAACATTCAGTTTTACTGAAAAGCATGGTTTGTTACAGTGCTCATGAATTTTAACAGAGCTCACTGCCATGTCTCCGTACTGCATGACTAGAATAAATGTTAAAACCCAAACAGAACTCTTTTATTGTTCCCATATTTTTAATGACTTCCTGTAAAGATCTGTTTCCGTTCTAAATCAATCTGTTCGGTGTACATTCTAAGAGATGCGATTTGAGAGGGTAGAGGAAATGCACTTTAAGGGTTTTTAGAACTCATTAGCTACAAACATAGACACTGACAGATTCACTGCTACAAGAATGTCAGCAGCAGCACAGAGACTGTATGAGAAAAGCATGCATTCAAAAAACATTTCAACAATGATCAGAAGACTCATAAAACACTGAAAACAGGAGAAGACATGGAGACAGAGAAGGAGAGACATACTGTCCTGCGCACTTCCTCAACACACAATAACAGTCACACGATCGCCTCCGATTCCAGTGCTACTGCCCAGCACATACACACATACACACACACACCAAAGCAGTGTTTGTATGAGTGTAAAACTTAGAGCCAGTTGGGTCAGCTCAGGTCCAGAACACTCATAAAACTGTGCTGTCCTCAAACGAACCCTCTAGCTAAGACACAGCCAGGCACATACACACATATACACACAAACCCACTCACACAGTATGAGCCTCTCTCTCAACAACACAAGCGCACGAGAAGAGTGCAATTCAGCAGCACTCTAAAAGCATATTTTCCACCAAAAGTCTTCATTTTTCCTAAACCTTAGCATCAACTAAATATGCTTATTCCACAAACATGAGGTTATACTCCAGAATCTGTGACAAGAGGTAAGGATAAGGGAAGGGTGAGCCAGTGTAGAAATAAATCTACTTAGATTAGCATTTACAGAGGATTATGATATCTACTTTTAAAGGAATACAAATGCAGTAAAATGAGTAAAAAGACTACAAGCATAGAACCATTTTAGTGTTGCAGCTCATCATTTCCTAAATATTCTGCTCTTCTGGAGTAACAAATAAAAGCATCTTCAAATATTGGGTTAAAACATCGAATCTAAACATCTGTCTGATGCCAGTATTTTTTTAAAGCAAACATCTGCCGATACCAGCCAGATTTCTATATCATTTTGCATCTAAAAACTCAAAACTGTTCCTCTGGGCAGTCTGTGTGTTTTGCCAGTAAATGCCAGATTTAATATAAAATCATAAAAACATAAGTTTTTTATTTAATATAAAATATAAAAAGATAAGTTTGGTTCTTGACTTCTCGCTGCACTCAGGTGGAAATGGTTAATCTAACACGCTCACACACATCAAATCACAATGTTTTGTTTATAAATAAAGATAAAAATAATTACATAAAGAGCTTTTCATATCATTTTCTCTGACACCTAAGACTTCTGCACAGTACTATTCATACCAGACCTGCAACAGAGAATCACTCAAATCAATAACGTTGATAATCACAAAATGTGTGGCTACAAATTATTATCGATTAAGTTTGATAACATTAACGCTTCTCATCTACATCACTTCATAAAAGGAAAATACAGACAGTGATTGTAGTGCAGGATTGAGGGTTCTGCACAACCCAGAAAGTAAAAAATATGCAAACATTTAACTTTAACATTGCCTTTACAGCTGGTTTCCTATACACTGTGTAAAACTAAGCTCACCTGTTTTAGCAGCACGAGTGTTACAACACAGTGCATCCACAGTGGAAGTTTTTAAGTCACTGAAAACTGAGCTTTAAGAAAACCTTCTCCAGGGTGGAGATGGAGAATTTTAAAAAACTGCTTTCTTTTCTGATAACCTGGCTGTTTCTGTGTGGTCACTAATTTTAAGTTTGACTATGGTGTTACAACCACAAAGAAGCAAATTAATTCAGCTTTGCTGTGCTTTGCTTACCATTAGGAAAATTAATTTAAACAGAAATGCAAAGTTCTGGAAGATTCAAACTACCTCCATGTCAGTATTTGTATTATTTGCCTATGATATATTTGTGTTGCTCCTTAATTGTTGCTGCACCTTTCACAGTGAGTAAAATAGCATTTGCAATGCAGAAGATCTGTTGTGTCCTTGATAAAAGTCTAGTAATGCACCAGTATGGAAATTCTGGGCCAGTGCCAATGTTCAGTATTTTCTGTGTATGTATCCATCAATGGCAATACATACACATTCAGAAATGTAGAAAATACAACTACAACAACCTGGAGGAGCATTACAGAGAAATGTAATTTATTTTGAAGAGGGTGACAAATGCAGTAAAGTTAATATAAGGGTGACATTTTAGCACAGTTGCTCAGCATCACTTAAATGTTTGGCTCTTCTTGAGTACAACTAGTATATCATCAAATATCAGTTTGAAATATTGGTCCAATGTAATTATCTGTCTGCAGCGACTGCAACCGATATGATTCCTGATAGCATCATGCATCCTTATATAAAATTTAGAAGATTTTATGTCTGAAAGAGCATTGTGCAAAAGAAAAAAATGCTTGTTTTTACTCTTTTAAATGAATAAATGTGTATAATGTTAAATATTTAACATTAATTATTGACAAGCTACTAAGTATGCTTTTTCTTTTCCTGATTAACCGATTAATGGAAATTATAGTGAACTGAATAATCACTTATAGAAATAATCATTATTTACAATCTTATTACATACATATATTAATGCCATCTCTGCATGCTCCACTAGGAGGCCTAAATCTTATAGGCCTTACATTCAGGTCATCTATTAAAACAATTCTGACAGACTTCTCAATGCAGTCACGCATGTTCTACTGAATTAAATCTTTGTATTATAGTAATTCAAGAAATTAAAACATTTTCATATTATCCTAAAGAAAATTCACTGAAGATCATGTGAAATTTTACTTGCACCGATTGTGAATACTGTCCTGAAAAAACTGACAGCACTAAATGAAATGTTTTGTTGTGCCATATTAAGAAAAACAGCCTCGTTCATATTTGCTTTTGTTGTTTTGCGCTGCTGTTTTAATCTAATTCATGACTGCACATTACCTCGCTGAATTAAAGTGGTAAATGAATCAGGTCTGCGTGTGTCAGCGTTGCTGGGAGATTGACAGGAATACAATTCAGACAGGACGGCCCACCACTGCAACAGGAGAAGTAATGTAAAGTACTAGACTGTTGGGAAAATATCTACTAGTCTCGCCTAAGTTAATTACAACCACTTAAGTTAGTGGAAATGCATCAGCCAAGATTATTTCATCTGAACAGAGGGAACCTTTTTGGTCCCAGGTGATGTGTTGAGAGTAGTCTGCTTCCAGCTGGCACGAACTACAAAAACTAAACAGTAAACACTGGCACAGTCACTGCTGACTTACTGTGAAGACAACCTTTCTAGTTCACAACAGTACATGGATGGGAATATGGCTCACTATTCGCTAAAAACTGTATAAGTATTATGATGATGCGAATGAAATGTTTGGAGTGGATTTTAGACTGAGCCCTTAAAAGTTTTATGTTCAGCTCTTTGCTGGTGACTGCAGCTATTATTTAAAGCCTTCTAAAATGCACAGCCTTACCCAGGCAATCATTTAGTCTCGCCTCAGTTTATTACAATCACCTAAGTAGTTGACAAAATTAATATTTAAAAAAGCAAAGACCTGTAATTTGCACTGCATGTAGATTTCACTTCATATTGACTCGAGTCAAAGGTGCACTGTTTATACAGACAGATTTATTGTCCTCTAGGAGGAAATTTGTTTTCACTCTGTATCATACCAACATTTTTGTTGAGAATATACATAAATCATTATATGTACAAATTCTATACAAATATATGTACAAACTTACCGCTTAAACAGCCTATTTTAGCCAAGAATATCCTTTTACTGTGATTCTTTCTGTAAGTCACTCCATATAGAACAGGAGCACGAACACACATGACCAGAAAGCGTGAGTGACTCCTCCTTCCTCTTTCCTCCCTTTTCCCTACTTCCGTACGGGGGTCCCTCTATCCCGTGTCCAATCCCAGCGGTCTGCACGCAAACACACATACATACACACACATACACACGGCCAGCCTCCCCTTCGACGGGCCTCTGTACAGGGCTACAGTCAAGGCCTCGCAGCTTCTTTCTAGAGTTACAGAAACTGCATACAGACACACACACACATTCCAACTCCCAAAATGAACATGACTACAATAACAATCAGAACATACAGCCAAATTCCACTTCCAAACACATGAGCTACATCAGTAAAACACGTCCGCACACACTCATACAAACACAGCCCCAGACATGAAGATCATGGTTATGAAACAAACACAGAATTTAATAACAGTTTTCATACCGAAGAGGCAAAATAAGGGTTATACCAACATACTAAACACGGGGCCTGGACTGTGTCATCAAGACAGAGCAAGACGAGACAAGGGACCATTTTAAAGCTTTTTAAAGCAAACTGTGACCTGATAACCCATTCTGAGGTAAAACTGGAACTGAAGGATCTTACTGTATCATAAAAAGGAAACAGACAAAAAGATGAAAGAGAGTGAGAGAGAAAGCGATTTGGGACTTCTCCAGAGTATCACAGTTAATCCTGTTACATGGCTGGCTCATCTTATGCTCCTTCACAGCAAATGAGCAAATCACAGTCCAGTATTTCTACAATAGCGCAACACCTAGAAGTCAAACACGGCTATTGATTGTGAATTAAATTCTCAGTTTAAAACAATCACAGTTTTACGCTGCCCCATCTCAGCACAGCATACCTATCAGTGAAATAATAAGATGACCACCAATTACAGAGTGTGATAACTTACACAGAATCACTGAGGTAATGCAACAAGATATGCTTGTGTGATAAGACACAGGCTCTAACCTTACCAGCATTGGTGTCAAAGCTGGACAAACTGTTTAACATCCACTGACCACATTCACTGAAGCCTGATCCAATTCTGCAGACAATAAACAAACTGTAAGATTTAACTACCAGTACAATATGTGCAATACAAATATATTTGAACTCCATTCAACGTGCATTTACAAGACAACTTTGTGCAACAAAACAAAATTAATAACTGCAAAAGCGCATCTTCTGTATAAAGGGTAACAAAAGTGACATAGTAAAAAAGTGAGACAGCAGAAATGAAACAGAAACAGCAAAAGGCGCCACTGAGAAGCAAACAGGTTTACAACCACAACACAGCGTCACTTTATCAGATTCAGTGCCCGCAGCTTCGTTAATTCAGTTTTATCAGATTCGGTTATAAACTCGGTTTACATTTCATAAGCAAACCTGTTTTAATCCTTTACGAAATATCTGACTCAACACGCAAAGGGAGTAGCACAGACCAGAGCCTCATCTCTTAATTCATTCGCCAGTGACTATTAAGAAAGTACAGCTCGGTTCGACAACGCCTCGACACAGAAAAGTACTTACGCTCGACACCAGCATGAAAATTCAGGCCCAACTCGGACGCCCAAAGTTTGCTATCAAAGCAGAACGTGAGTTAACGCGAACTTACATCAACTCACATGCGTGGCTCTGTGTGATGTCGCAGTTGCAAATGGCTGCAGTGAGCCGAGTGCCAGGAGGATGTAACGACAGTGTTAACTGTAACAGGATTAAAACACCACATACACGTCCTTACCTGAGTTTTTCTCATGCCTTTCCCGATCACCGCCGTTTCTTCGTTGGTTTCTTTGCTCTCCTCCTTGAGGTAGCGGGGGTAACGCTGTGTCTTCGCGAGGCGTGAACCAAGTTTTCCACGTTGCCGAGATCAACGTCCGTGTCTGTAAAGCCAGCCAGTCAGGACAGTTTAAAGTTAAAGGCTTCAACAACCAAACACCGTAAACAGAAGCAGAGATTAAACCGCCGTGTAGGAGGTCAAAAAACCTTACAGTCCTGTTTGCAAAGCGCGGCTCGAGACAAGTTCACGCTTCGGAAAGCGCAGTGGCTCGAGCAGGTTACCTAACGTTAACGTTAGCGGACTTACGCTAGCAGCTTTTGTTTTCACTCGCCTCGGCTAATGTGTGTGTGTGTGTGTGTGTGTGTGTAATGTTCGCTTCTCTCTGGAATCTCAGTAACACACGGTGAACCGGTTCATACCTGACTGTAACTTTGTCCGCGGTGACTTTCGCTTCGCTCCGCTCGTCGCCCCGTAACTTGTTAATCGCTTCTGCTGTGCTGCCTTCATGCACGTTTAATAGGAGAACTTGGCAGCAGCTCCCGCGCTAGCACGCCGAGGCGCGGGCATGAACACGCCCCCCGCCCGCGCTCTCGGAAGCTCGAGCCGCCTCGCTGGAGCTCGAGCTCGGGCCAGCTAAGCTACACGCTAACGGCGCTGCGGCTGCGGGCGAACCCCGTCCCCGTCCCGGGCGAGATGTGTGTGTGTGTTTTTTTTTTCTTACCGATTCTCCGCGTCGGCAGCGAGACCCCTCCGCGTTCGCTCTGTCGTTCGACGTGCCTTTCGGCGCGGGGCACCGATATCGCGCGACGGCTTTTATTATTTTTTTCCTTCACCGGAGGGAGGCGAAACAAAACAAAACTTTGAACCCACGCTGCTTGTTAGGAGGCTGCGAAAAAAACAGAAACGGTTGAACTTGGACCTAAATAGACGGGGGCTCGGTGTAACGAGGCTCCGCCTCGCGCGCGCGGCTCTCCGCCAATAACGGATGAAAGGCTCGGCCGGGCGCGTGCGTCCGGTGTTTTGGTTGGTGTGACATCCACGGCCACGCGCGCGCTGCTTGGTCGGGTTCGACGCTTGTAACGCGCGTGGGGGGACAACTCCCACATTCCGTCTACACACACACACGCACGCACGCACACACTCGCTCTCCTTTTCTTTCTCACACACACAGACGAGGGGTGTGTCGTGACGTCACGCAGCAAAGAGGTAAACAACCGAGTCCGCGTGAGAAGCCATGAAAAGCAGCGTCGTTTTCACGGTTAAAAAAATGAGCGCTGCTGCAGCATCGTCCACGTGCAGTTGGCTAGTAGTGCAATGGCTGAGCTACTATTTCGCTCCCTGCTATGATGTTCAGTTAAATGAATGAAGGACGTGTTCCTCAGCCGTGCGTGGTCAGTGGGCGCTTTTGAATGCGTGTGGGTGGATGTGGGTCAGTGTTTATTTCACTTGGGTGTGTCCCCTGTCTGAGCAGTAATGCACCAGAATGCATCTGGTGGAGGGACCAAAATGAATACGCTTTGTGTGGTATGTATGTGTGTGTGGGTGTGGGAGTGAGGGAGACAGCAGGAGAGAGGAAGAAGAGAATGATGAGGCTGAAGTTGGCTTCCTATTCACCAGCTTCTTAGGATTTTCTGTTCCACCTTAAATGGTGCAGCATTTACATTCCGCTGTACAGGTCCCAGATGGTGACTGCTGTACCATTTAAGGTGGAACAGAAAATCAAATAAGAAGATAAGCTTCTTGAGAGAGTGTGTTCTCGTGTGATCGCGTGAGTTGAAGTCTCATAAGGGGAATCCAGCCCTGTGGCACTTGGAAGAAGGGGGGTGGGGGTGTTTATGTGCGTGCAAGCCTGCATGTGTGTGTGTATATGGTAGGGTTATGCCAAGGGCAGAGCTGCTCAGTTTGTGTGAGTGACAGAGGACGAGGTGAAGGGAAAAGAGGAAAAGAGCTGATGTGGAGGAATGAGAGGAAGAGGCCGCAGAGCCGCGAACGATGGTACGAGTTGCATTGTGGCGGAGGGGGGAGGGGAAGGCAGTGGCTTTCAGTTTATCCGCCCGTTTCCATCTCTACCCCCACAGCGCAGTGTGTGAGCCATTGTCTGGAGCTGTGAGAGGGTACGCTGAAGGTGTTTCAAAGACTGGATAACCTTGTCACAAATCTGAAACGGTAGCTCTAGAGTCAGAATCAAAACCAGGCCTTACTGGCCAAGTATGTTTGCACATACAAGGAATTTGTCTTTGATTACGCAGTAACTGGCAGCAGAAATCTCACACTCACACTGAGGGCAGAAGGAGAAACGTTCTTAACTTTTAAGGCAGTAGATTTTATTCCAAGCACTTTTAGACATTTCTGTTGGTCTGTTTATTATGAAATGTTCACCCAAGATAAACAGAAGCTGGTTTATCAAATGGTGTAAAGAAATAAGTATTACAAATAAAGATTAAGAGGTGTAATGTGAAAGGGATGATAGTTTAAATTCTCCCATCGGTCTCTCTCACAGTAATAAACAGCCTGATGGGCTCACCCATACTGTGCAAAAGTCAGAGACCACCCTTTTATTTATTTAGTTTTCACACAAATCAAAAATGTATTTTTTTCAGTATTAATACACTCACTTTTTGCCTTAAATACCCTTCTACTCTTTTCAGGAGACTTACTTCCAGTTTTCAAAAGAAATCTACTGCAATATTTTTCCACTTTCAAAGGACACCCGATCCAAGTAATCCCAAACACAATCATGTTCATCAATCCTGTTGAGGTCTGGACTCTTGACTGGTCAGTCCATTGTTCTGAGAACACCAGCAGATTCTTTGTTTGATTTGCAAATGTCCTTTTTTTGGATTTCCTTTCCTCATTCTTGACAACTACACATCTTTTCAGACCCTTAGTGTTGAGGTGTCTGACTGTATGTATCTTTAATTAAGCCTTTTCAAAAGCTTCATAGCTTAAGATTTTTCAGTAAACTGTTTAAGAATATTTAAAAGGCCCTGTATGGGTTGTTATTGGTCACTTAAAGCCCATTTATATTGCTTGGCCTTTTGTAAAAACTAAGATTTGTCAATTAATTATCAAGATAATCGATAGATTACTAATATAATCGACAGTGACAGCCTTAGACCAGATACTCTCATCAGCTCACAGATTAATACAAGCACAGGGAGAGAGGACACAGCATAAAGGAACAACATATCAAATTCAGGAGTGTGTATCATAATACAGATGTGCAGCAAATTTGATACGGAAATATAATGCTATGGACATAGTTGTGGTGTGTTTGTCACCTACTGTAGATCTTTGTCCTAGTTGGCATCATCTGGATTAACACAATGGTGGTTTAAGGCCCTTGCCCTTGCCTTGGTGGGAGTATCTGCAGTGAATACTGCAGTGAATTACATAACTGTATGTTGTACATGTTTACACTGGGGTAAAGCACCGTCACTGCCCTGACAGTTCCTTTCAGATTCAGTAGTCACTACAAGTCAAAGTGAATCTGTTCTGTATGTAAAACTAGCACACAAGATCAAGATAGAATTTAATCACTGTCATTATGAGCTAACTAGTGTCCCTGTATAGAATTAGCATAGCTCAGAATACCACAGCCATAGATTTAGTTTTGCATGGTCTCAGGAAACCACTTACTACTTCATCTAGGAAGGGTTTGGTCAGGAAGAACTAAATAAAAGTTATCTTTTATGTCATTTTATGCACTGCAGGCTGGTGAGATAATTACTTTCCATTAATTTGACAAGATCCAGTGTGAAAAGCCCCTTCAGAAGCAATGACTGGGTCAGCACAATTGTCAGTGATTCTATTTAAGTGATTTCTGCTGATTTATTAAGCTCTCCCACTGTTTTTCTATTATAACCATCCCAGACCTTTCATTTATAATGAATACAATATAGAGACAAGTGAAACTTTTGAATAGCTACAAAGATGAGTAATAATGCGATAATAATACATCAGTAAATCAATAAACACATTATCACTACATGATAGTACTACATAGTGTTTTATCACGAGTAAACAGTGAGCTAGAGATAGAAACAACATAATCACAACTTGGAATCTGATAGCGTAGACTGGAATATTATTGGTGCCAACATTCAAGTGAGCATTATGTCACTTTTTGTCTGAACAATCTTGTGGTTCACTTAAATAAAATTACAGACTTGTATTTTAAATTGCTGTGTAGCGCTTACATCCAAAAGGAAAGGGATTGTGGTCTTTGTGGCCTGTGCTACAGAGTGCCCAGGTGATGCAGTTGCATATAAATTTAAGGCTATGACCTGCTATACTCACTCGGATGCGTTATGTTATTGTTCGAAAATCTGTATTGTTGAAGCACCAAACACTGTCCTGCCACTGATTAGGATTTGTAAAATTCATGAGACAAATGAAATAAAACAAAATTCCAACTTGTCTTATTTTGTTTCTTTATCAGTCCTTTAGCTCAAGCTTTGCATTTTTTAAAGTCAACAGAAATCATAATGCATTAACATGATATTATTGGTTAATATTATTTTCCCTGCCTGCTGGTGTACAGTGGTGTAATCAGGTAAAAGTTGCTACACCTTAGTCAAAGATTATGGAAAAACAAGACTTTTGTCATTTTGAATCGTGCTTAATACGACCACAGACGTAAAATAAAAAGGTAAGAAAATGGCCTGTTTTGAGTTCAGATTGACTTGAACTCACCTGCTTTTCTTTGTCCATCTCTCATGTACTACATGTTCTAGTTGGACATGATGTAACAGGTCATGACCTTTGCACAGACCACAAAGATTGTTCTGGAACGTGCAGAGAACACAACTTACAATAGGATTACATCATTGTAGGGCAAAGTTCAAGGTCAGCCAGCCAATCGTGATCCAGTATGGAAAACAGAGCCGGATCTGAAGAAGCAAACAGGCCTGCTGCCTGTCTATCATCGCCTGTTTAAACTTTTAACAGAACTCTGCTTTGCTCTTTCTCTGTGCAGAAGGTGATCATATTCTTATCTACTATCAGTTAGATGTGGAGTGTGTGAAAAATAAAACCTAGAGAAACAAATTGCATCTTGTAAACTGAAACTCATTTGATTTCTTATGGATTTACAGTTTGATTAAGAGAACATGTCAGAACGTTTATTTTGTGCCTTTGCACCATATGGAACCACATCTGCATTTCTGCTGCAACAACTAGCCGACACTTACAGCAAACGCACATGACATAAATTCTCAAAGCCTCCTCTGAAGTTGCAGAGGTATGTTCGTAACAGTGTTTCCAAACCAAGCCCAGAAAAGAATGTCGCTTATAGAGGCTATTTGTTTGAAAAGATCTTCTTTGAACAGAAATAGCACAAAAGACTTCCTGAATTAGGCACAGCTACAAACAGTACGCTGGTCCCCTGACCACTCAAAGACCTCTCAGAAATACAACACTGTATTCACAAGCACAGCACTCACACACGCTTCCACAAAGTGTTTTTAAATCAGTACATTAACAAATAGGTTTACTGCATTTTGTGGGATTTAATACAAAAAATGTGATGTGACGCTCCAGCTCCCAACACATGGCAGCCTCGCCTCAGCACTGCTCCCAACACATGGCAGCCAAACCTAATAATTAATCAGATCATCAAAAACAGCAAGAATAATTATTTGTAACATTTGGAAAATTATATTAAAACTCAAAGTAAACTAGAGTGCTATCAGGCCCTAAAAAGAGGGCATGAATCAGAAGAGTATCTCCTGACTGTCAGAGATCCAAAGTAGAGACAAATTACAGGCTCAGCGAGTCTGACTACAGAAATGGGAAGATGCAAATAAATAAATAAAATGATAAAAAAAAAAAAAACAGGCTGCCCAGAGAGGAAAGATTGTGATCACTGTATGCACAGATATGTTGTCTTC